CGCTATCCATTTACTACATACATGTAGAAGGAGATAAATGAAAGCAAAAAAAATTACAACATAAATGAAATGAATATAGATAATTTGCATATAAATAAATAATTTTGTGCATATTTCTGTACAAATAACTTTTTCAATTCCCTCCAAAAGTATGGGTAGGTAGGGTTAACTTGAAAAAAAAAAAATTATTTTATTTGGCCTGGATCATCTTTTGAAATTTAAAATTATACAAATCATGTATAGAGGCTTTGCAGTGACGTCACAAAAATCACTAGGCCGCCATGTTGGATTACAAACAAACCATACGCAACGAAAGCCACGGGGAGGGTGTGGGGTTCTGTTATTATTACATATGTTCCATAGGAAACCTTTGTAAGGGATAATCATGATAATATGCTTGAAATGAAATCAAATTACTATCCGTATATGAAGTAAGTAGATTTAACCTACCACTGACGAAATGATCAGAGCAGACACGAATGTATGGAAGATTTGAATATTATTTTTATTTTGTAAACACATTTTCGTTTGCTATTTTTATCCAGTTCAAATCGTCAACAACATTTTTGGCATGTCAGGTGTACATCACGAGATGCGGTGTATTCTGCTGTACTTTCACTCGCTTCGCTCGAGAAAGTACAGCCGCAGGATACACCGCATCACGCGTGAAAATAACTTCCATACGCAACGAAAGCCACGGGGAGGGTGTGGGGTTCTGTCATAGTATACAATGATGTTCACAATACATTATTAGTTATTAATATATGTTTCCTTTATTCAGCAGTAGAGTAGATTGGAAGTAGTTTTTGTGGTTTCCAATAAAACATTCACTAATTGAGCCGTTTTGCATCTACACTAAATACGCAAGGTTAATAACATACATTGTGGTGCACCTCACATGAAACAAAAAATATCCAACTACTGTAAAAAGACCATCTCTGGCTCTAGAAGATTAAATTAGTTAGGTTTGTAGTTTGACTTGTTGGAGTACAATGGCTGGAAGCTGGAGTACATTATGTGTAAATAAACTAGAACAAAACTGCTTGCTAAGTTAGTCTATTTGTTACTTATAATTACTTACACTATAATTATATAGTTAGATAATTGTCTAATTGAACAAAGTTGCCTTGTAATCAATATTCATATTCCCAGTAGTGAATAATGAAATCACACACCAGGCGCATGGCATCTCTGGGGCTCATATGATGTGTTGAGCGAATAATTATCTTCATTTTCCATGCTCAGACAGAGTCTACAGCCAGAATAGTGATTATTCTATGTTAAGCGTGAAAGGCTGGCAGTGACATCATAAACAATGTATTTTACGTGTTATGTACATGGTGTGTAACATGTATTGACCACGATGTCGCACTATAACCGTCGCCCTTTAAGCAGCATACTGTGGGTAGAACAAAATCGCATGCACGCACGCCTGAACACATATACGTGTGAATTACCTTGTGTCGACATACCACTAACAACATGTTAAATTACATTTGATGATATTTTAATATAGTTAAAGAGTTACCTTGAATTGATCATTTTATGAGTAAAAGAACTTGCTAAATTGGAGGAACGATGTCAAGACTACGCTTATTTTAATGACGCCAAGGTTAGATTTTGGTTGGAGTTTCCCATATTTGAACCCAGTTACCTGCTTTCAGTTTTAAATAGTAACATGTCTGAAGCGCACGCTTGGCAGTTTTGAACCTCCACATTGCGCTCTAAATTTTGTTGCCTTTTTTAAAATGCGTTTTTGCGTGCAATATTTACATTCTGACATGGAGTTTGTTATGTTTGTCACGTTTTAAACAGTTTAAGCATTTTTAAATGTCTGTATGTTTGGTATGTTAAAGTCGTGTTCTGGTGGCTTGAAAAGACGTGGTCATTTATGGTGAAAATGTTATTTTGAAAGATAAAAATAAATGCTTGCTTCATTATATAGTCAGTGAGGCTTAAGCGTGGGGCCGAGTCAATGTGTGATACCAATGAATGTATTGTAATATAAAGGCTTTAATCTTGCTTAAACTATAAACCAAGACATATCCATCAAATTTGAGAGCCAAGTTCGGGTTGTATCAAATGTCAATCATGTCACAGGAAAACAAGAAAAAGTCCACCGTCTCTGACAAGTGCGTTAAGTGGGACTACGCCGTGTAACACTTTAGTTGCATCAAGTACGGGTAATAATAATGCTGCGATTCTGATATAAGCTAGAGACGCCAAAGCCCCCTAGCGCTATACTGTATCTTCACAGTCAGCTGGCACACAAGTGGTAATAAAATAAATGTGAGAGAGACTTAATTTCATGCAGTATTCAATATATCGGTCCCATACAGTAAATATCTCATTTATTTTATTACCACTTGTGCGCCAACTGATTATGGTTTATCATAAAATGAAAACACTGTTTATGTAGCATACATCTAGGCATGTATTCAATGTAACAATACAGTTCTCTATTACGCATGTATACTATCATGTAACATGTTTAGCCTATGTTAAATCATCGTCTGTTTTGGTGTACTGTATGCAAATAACATAGAGAATAAGTTATTTTCTTACTCATCTACAGTTTGGCTTATTCAAAAGTTCAATCAAATCCTATTTTTTTTCATCAAACTTTACCCAACTTTGCAAAACAGTCAAGTTGTTGTCCAATCAAGACTTGACAACGCCGTTCCATTGACACTCGCTCAGTTTAGATCATTCCATTGTCATATTAAACGAGGGTAAAGCGTAGATGTTTTCAAAATGATACGTGTTTGTTAGAATACATGTTAATTTAGTTTGTTTAAATAATTATGAATCATACAATGTAGATAGTCAAGAAATGAAGGCTAGTTATTGAATATGTACATAACAAATCACTATATTGACATTCAATCCCCATATAATAGCAAATCTCTGTCAAACGGCGAGGTCAAGTCTAGAACAGAAAGTTGCAAGAAATAATTCCCAGGATCACTATAAACACGATATTTAATGCAATACATGAACAAATTAAAACAAAAAAAGTGTATTGTTATATTTGTAGCATCCAGTCAGGTAAAGCATTACAATATATTAACACAACAGTTTATTCCTATCAAAATCATTAAACTAACATAAGGTGTTATACATACATATACTGTCAATATATTCACTGAATTCACACGTAATTTCCCCCATAGTGTCAACATTTTTCGTAATTATAAAACAGAACGGTAAACACAGAATATGTAATTTAAGTAAGTCACACGTTATTACATGTTAGTCAGTATTACCCATTATTAATATATGACGACAAATGCTAAATTGAGCACACTGTAACTTCTCGGTAATGTATTGTGAAATCAAAGGGAACATCATATGACACAAAGACGTTCATGAACAGATTACACCACCGTATGATTGCTTGTAATAACAGTAATTGTATAGAATCCATTATATATTTCATTAATATTCTAACGCTAGCCTTTGATAAATACTACAGCCAACGTTAATTAGGCCATTGTACAATATTAAAAATGATTGGATTATACCAGTCACGTGTGTGGATGGCAATGTATATATATCCCCGTCACTGCATCGCCCCATTCTCAGTGTTGTTGATAGTCGTTCGGTATCGTAATTCGAGTTAATACTGCTGATTTGTTTTGGGTAGCACATATCGTAATATCGTGCTCGAACCATGGTGTATATATTACACCAGAGCCGCCACGATGCTACAATCAGAATTTACCTTAGCGTATTGGTGTTTCTTCTTTTCAAAATACGTAAGTACAACTTTACTGGTTTACGTAGGATTTATATTGCTGAGATGGAGGTTGGTAATTATCGTGAACCCTCAGTGGATAACAACATAGTGGTTTCATTACGTTACTTATAGCAATGTAAAAATTTGCTTATGTTTGGTTGTGAGAAGTGTCAGCGCAGCTTCTAGCTGAGGTGTCAACCGTTTGTAGGTAGGACATACCACACGACACATCAACAACTACGTCACATACATACGTACTTTGAAGCATTGAATTGTTCTGCCCAATTTAACATATCTCATTAATTTGTATGTGGATCTGAACATATTAATATAATCCTCGTTTTCATAAATACATGACACACACCATTTAACAATCACTAGCTTCTTTTCCAACCATCCAACTTACTATACAACGGCAATACAGAGAATGTAATTATTATTTGCAAAATGCTACGTTTTCAAGTAACGTTGAAACTATATAACCCCCATATCTTGGGCATAAAAGTCAATTCGTCAACGATATAATAGTTTATATTCACAAATACTTATTTTTAAAATGCAACGTCGACAAGTAACTTTGACAACTATATACAACTCAAATCACGAGTATAATAGTCAATTCGTCAACAATATGATATTTTTTTATAATCGCAATCTCATTTGCAAAATGCTCAATTCGTCAAAGATATGATATTTCATAATCACAAATTCATTTGTAAAACTTATAAATAATTTATATAATAGTAGTATATGGGTATAATTACTAATTAAATATTTGGATATGAGATTACATTATTCACCAGGATTACATTTCTTTCAGCTAAAGTTAAATTTCTTAGAAACACGAAATAAAATATTTTGAAAATCAGATGTCAATAAAGTTGACGTGTCCGTTGTTTTACAATTCATATCAAATGCAATACAGTTCAATAAATTATATATTTGTCTTCATTAATCCAATTTTCAATAAATATTGGTATTCAAATTTTGAGTAAACAGTCGACTTCAAATGTATATTTATATTAATGTTTTCTTGTTGCCTGAAAACATAATTTGTAAAAAATATTTTTTTATCTAAAGTGTGTTTTGCAAAGTTGCAAGGCATCTTGGTAACTGAATCCCATGACCGCTATAAACACGGTATTTGATGCAATACATGAACAAATTAAAACAAAAAAGTGTATTGTTATATTTGTAGTATCCAAGCAGGTAAAGCATTACAGTATATTAACACAACAGTTTATTCCCATCAAAATCATTAAACTAACATAAGGTGTTATACATACATATACTGTCAATATATTCACTGAATTCAAACATATTTTCCCCCACAGTGTCAACATTTTTTGTAATTATAAAACAGAACGGTAAACACAGAATACGTAATTTAAGTAAGTCGCACGTTATTACATGTTAGTCAGTATTACCCATTATTAATATATGACGACAAATGCTAAATTGAGCACACTGTAACTTCTCGGTAATGTATTGTGAAATCAAAAGGAACATCATATGACACAAAGATGTTCATGAACAGATTACACCACCGTATGATTGCTTGTAATAACAGTAATTACATGGAATCCATTATATATTTCATTAATATTATACCTTAACGCTAACCTTCCATAAATACTACAGCCAGCGTTAATTAGGCCATCGTACTATGTAAAGGATGATTGGATTACACCAGTCACGTGTGTGGATGGCAATGTATCTATATCCCCGTCACTGCATCGCCCCCTTCTTATTTATCGTGATCGAGTTTAATGCTGCTGATTTGTTTTGAGTAGCACATATCGTAATATCGTGTTCGGACCATGGTGTATATATTTCACCAGAGCCGCCACGATGCTACAATCAGAATTTACCTTAGCGTATTGGTGTTCCTTCTTTTCAAAAGACGTATTAAGTAAACTTTACCGATTTGCATGCGATTTATATTGTGTGTTAATAATTGTCCTGTATTTTATCGTGAACCGCCGGTGGACAAGAACATAGTGGTTTCATTACGTCACTTATAGCAATGTAACAATTTGCTTATGTTTGGCTGTGAGAAGTGTCAGAGCAGCTTCTAGCCGATGTGTCAACCGTTTGTAGGTAGGACATACCACACGACACATCAACAACTACGTACTATATGTATGTACTTTGAAGCAGTGAATTGTTCTGATCAATGTCTCATTAATTTGTATGTCGATCTGAACATATTACAATGTAATATAAATCTAACACATGTTGTCCCCATAAATACATTCAGCACGATAACGTCCTGACACACACCATTTAACAACCATAGCCTCTTTTCCAACTATCCAACTATATGGCAGCAATACAGGGAATGTAATTAATATTTTCACAATGTTACGTTGTCAAGTAACGTTGACAACTATATAACCCCCATATCATGGGCATAAAAGTCAATTCGTCAACGATATGATTATAGTTTATAATCACAAATACTCTTTTTCAAAATGCAACGTTGACAAATAACATGACAACTATATACCACTCAAATCACGAGTATAATAGTCAATTCGTCAACAATATGATATTTTTTATAATCTCAAACTCATTTGCAAAATGCTCAATTCGTCAAAGATATGATATTTCATAATCAAAAATTCATTTGTAAAATTTACACGTGGAGAATGGATATGAACAGACGTTTCCACTTAATCACGAGCATTCACATTATTCACGAAATCGTTCATTGCACACTGCGATACGAGCAGTATACCAGGAATGACAATAATATTTAACCCGTCTAGAAACATTATCGAAAAAGAGAATATTCGACACTATTTAGAACACAAAAAACAAATCAACGACTGTGAGAGCATTTTGAAACAAAAAACATGTCAGAAATGCATGAGAAACCGAATATAGTGATTAAACAAAACAAAACGATAGTAACTTTGAACTGCTTATTATATTCTACTTTATTTATTCTTATTAAATATAATAGTAGTATATGAGTATAATTACTAATTAAATATTTGGATATGAGTTTACGTTATTCACCAGAATAAAATTTCTGTCACCTAAAGTTAAATTTCTTAGAAAAACGAAATAAAATATTTCGAAAATCAGATGTCAGTAAAATTGGCTTGTCTGTTATATCACAATTCATAGCAAATGTAATATAGTTCAATGCATTACAAATTATATATTTATCTTCATTAATCAAATTTTCGATAGACAATGAGCTTTTGAAATGGTACTGATGACCCTGGGTACGGCAAGATATATTCAAAGTTTGAGTAAACAGTCGACTTCAAATGTCATTTTATATTAATATTTTCTTGTTTCCTGAAAATATAATTTGTAACAAATATTTATTTTTTTTATCTAAAAATGAATTAATATCCATACTATGATTCAAAGTAAATGAATCTTTATTTATTATTTATTTGTTCTTTTATTAACTTTTATCAATTGATTTCACTTTTCATCAAAATTGAAATAGTAAAATATTTTTTAAACTTTTTGGCTTTATTAAATAATGTTTTTGAATCATGAGCTTGTTTCGAACGTATGTGTAATCCGAATGAAACATGTATATCTGACAGTGATTCCAAATTAGTATTTACGACTACATAATATAACACAGTTGCGTGTAGCTGGGGCTCAGTATTTAACGGTCCAATATATGAACAGTTTCATCAAATAAGTGAATGATTATTGTATTTGTGTTTATAGTCCAAACAGATGTTCTCTCCATGGAAACCATGGATTATTCCATGTGATATGAGATTGTTTATGATATACTGCTGATATTTCTGCATGAATTTAAATGAAAGGTGGGGGAGGTTATTTTATCATTAATCTCATTTTAACTCGACGATTAAACATAGAAAAATACAATGTGTATAATCATATCGTCCTAATGAAGGAAGTGATGTGTCGACCACTCTTGTCTATACTTGAATCTGGTGCAATATTATTAACGATTAACATCAAAATTGTAATTGTACTCTGAGGAAATCAGCGGAGTTTATTGGACTCCTGAAAAAATATATTGCTTAATACCATTGTTCGTATTTGGTAACATCAGTGACGTCATCGTCGACAATTATCAGCGCGATTCACATGGGTATGATGTCGCGGCTATAAATATAAAATAAACAAGCGTTAGTGAAACTCAATAATATGAGCATTTTGAACGTGAACAATATGATGATATAATAATGAACATCTCGCAATGTTAGAGAATTCCACTGCCCACAATGAGATCGCCCGCAGCTGACGTAGAATCGACTTCTCATCCACCATGATATATGAGCATAGCGTGCTTTTTGTATTGTTGAGCATGTACATTTCTAACTGTTCTCTGTACTCACAAACTTGAAGTAGAATAAACAACAGACCTGTGAGTTGAACTTTGGATCTATGTACTACATATTGTTGTATTTTTGTTTCACACTAACTAAACTTTGCTTTTTATAAGTACAGAGAAATATATTGTGGGTCGTTTATCAACGTCATTTCGTAGTCAACAGATAACGCGCTGTTTCATTTACTCGTTGCGTATTCATGGTCAGAAATAATATATACTCATATATAATAAAATCATTGCCAATTTATTCGAAACACATTAGTCGAAAAATCGAAAGCGTTAATATTTTTAGCGATCAACATTGACACCTTAATGAATTGCTTATATTACATATATTTCGAGTTTATTGTCTCGCATATTTTAGACACTTAGATGTAGATTCACTTGATAACAAACTACAGCGTTAATTGTTATGAATCGTATACTGTGTACTGAGTATCAGAGAAGCCTGAAACGTCCATTGCTTTTTGTTCAATGTATTTGTTAGACCCGTACAAGCGAAATATTACTTCACATGTTACAACTTTGACTTCACTACATAATACAAATGATTACCCTAGCAGCGATTGACATTCAGAACAGTTCATTATCAACGGAGACAAAGCTTTAAAAGTCATTAAAAAATTTGTCTTTACAAAATAATTTTTAATTAATAACAATTGTCAATCTTGAAACACTAAATAAAAAGTTTGAAGTAATAAATACGGTGTTTATGTGATTCTAACTTGGATACATTCAATTATCAAATAACTGATGCACATGTCGATCAGATCCTAATGCTTTTCTTGATTAATTATATAGTTCCAGTTTACGCAGAAAACATATTTACCCAAGTGATTAAATACGACGTTGCACTCAAGTCACATGCCGTTCACACACAGCCAGCTGGTACGTTACTTTCCTGTGGACTCATGTGCATGCATGACCCGGCTTGCAAATCAATCAACTACAACACTGGAATATGTGAGCTCAATGCTTCTAGGAAGGATGAAAATATGTTAGATCTCATCGACACACCGGGAAACGTGTATCTGGAAGTCGGGGTAGGAAGTGATTTGGTGAGAATGTGTTTTTTTATGTGTATAAATCGTATTGCGCGTGCATGTATTTGGCAACCATCAACAATTAAAGTATATACAAATATATTTAATATGTCATATCTGGATATTATTAATTAGAAGTTTACACAAATCTGTTTGAATATAATATGTACGTACTTATGATCCAGCTTAAAATATTATAATATATGGAATATATATATATATATATATATATATATGAAACATACATCCATATTTGCATACAAACAATCTCATGATTCTTTAACTATAGTATGAAAATATCACGTAATGTAACGCTCGAAATCATGATCTGTTGAGCTACAGTGTAGACCATTCTGACCACAGTGTAAGGTGGTGACATTTTTTTTGTCTGTATGATAGATTACAAATTTCTATGTAACCTCGATTTCCAAGTGACAACTCGGTGTGTCGCAAGTCAAGCTTTAGGCCGGATTTAGTACGAAATATTGAAAATCCTTACGTGTGATACCATATCAGTCCAGTCCTGCCCGTCATGTGTTGATTGTCAACAAATTAGAACACCGAGTCATTCATACGTATGGTATAATTACTGAACACATTTACTAGAAGTATTATCAATCGAATGGTTTATTTATATTCAATTCATTTATTGCTGTGCACAAAAATGGTAGATTTATTTTTGACCCGAATACTTTGAAAATATAACACATTGTACAGCCATCTGACAATTCAGTAAATGGAACACAGAATTGCGTCTGCATTACTCAAAACAGCTTTATTATTTCAATTTAAACATAGTTAAGTAACAGGAAGCATTATGGCAGATTCATTAAAAGCCATTATTTTGACGGGTCGTGTGATGATGCAGTTTTTGAATCTTGTTATTAGAATATTGTATGCTGACCGCTCTTTGATATCATAACAAAATAGTAACCTTGGTGATATATTTAGAAATGAAAGTCAATACGTGGAAGATTCATAAGATTCGAGTATGTTC